GAATTAGTGCTGTAAAAACAGCTTTAAAGATACAGCCCTGGGAGAGGGGGGAACTGCGAGCCACAAATAGAAAATGACACCTGAGTCCCAGAGGTAGGAAAGGGCCTTCCAAACAGCTATAGGCCCTTGTGTCCAAAGTGGAGAAGATGGGAGGGTATCCCCAGACTTTATAGGGACACTAAAGAAGGCACATGGCACATGGGACAAAAGGGCAAGGTGGGTGGGGATGGAAAAAGAAGACAGGTGGATTATTAGAGGAGAAAGCCACGTTCCCCTAATGCTGCATTGCCAGTTTGGACTTATGGTCATAAAAGCAACAGCTTCCCTGGCATCCGCAATGCAGCACTGAAGACATTTTAGATGTTGCATTGAAAAGAACTTCCAAGATGAGCATATTATTACTGTCTTTTTTAGAGGCGCTTACAAAGTTAGAATAATTTATGCTAGAATTAGATAGTTTGGGAGGGATAGTCCGACAGAAATCTAATTCACACACACACACACACACACACATACACACACAGACAACAATATGAAAGCAAACATTCTGTTTGGAAGCCAAGATGAAGCAATAAGGCTTAGTTAGGTAAAAGGAACAGTTCCACTGCTAATCTAAAGCAATGGCCACAGAGAATATAAAATTACAGGTGTAGTTGTTCCTGTTGACCATGGCTCATGCCCAAGCTTTGCGGAGACCACGATTCTCTGGGCCACAGGAACCTCAAGGTTCACACTGAAATCCCAACCATGTTGAACATTTCTCAGCTTCCTGCACTTTTCAGTTATCCCCTGCCATTCACACAGTGATCCCAACCCTTCTGGAACCCATTGACCTTCCAGCTTTAGCCACTTCCGGGAGATTATCCATTTCATACATTTTTCACCTGCTACATGCAGTAGTAATCGTACCGACGTGTCCTGAACTTGCCTCATTTTCATCTCTCAGTCATTGCTGTATTTCCGGGTCAGAGGAGCAAGTCTGTGCTCATCTTATCCCGACTCACAGTCTCATCATTTCCTCTAAACAGCCACCTCCTTATCAGCAGCCTTCTTCCTTCTAGTTATCCAGGGTGCTCCTCAGGGACTTTCTCTAGCCTTCCTTTCACCTTCTAGACTTTCACACAACATTCTAGCTAAGAAAACTTCTCAGGGGCTGGGAAGGTGGCTCAGTGGAAGAGCGCTGGCCTTGCATGCATGAGGCCCTGGGTTTGATTCCTCGGCACCACATAAGCAAAAAGAAAAAAAACTGGAAGTGGCTCAAGTGGTAGAGCGCTAGCCTTGAGCTGAAGAATTGAGGGACAGCGCCCAGGCCCAGAGTTCAGGCCCCATAACCGGATCCCCCCCCACAAAAAAAAGAAAAGAAAACTCCTCAGGTGTAGATAGGAGTAAGATAACGTTCTCAATCTAACTTTTCCCACACCAGATGAAGGGGCCTGTTTTTGTACAGTACTCTAATCTCCTGGATGCAACCACATTTTACACATACACACACACACACACACACACACACACATACACACACACACACACACACACACACACGGAATGGCTTCTAGATTCCAGTTTGTAAACCTACGTCTCCCACATGTAGTTCACACAAGTCAGGTGAAGCAGAACTGGCCGGGTCTGCCACCAACCTGCCTGAAACACAGCCTCACCAAGAGAGAACAGCAGGTGAGCCTCTCTTGGGCTTCACAGCAGGTTAAAGTTCGAGATTTCATACTCCATTGGTTCTTCCTAGGGAGGGAAGCAACATCTTTTGACCAAAACGCAACAGTATGAAACCAGAGCTCATCAGGTGCTAGTTAGTGGAGGGTGGTCACCCGAAACAGGGGTTTCAATTTCCAGTCTCAGTTCATGAATTTGCTATTTGGGGCTTTTCTTTTCTTAATTACATGTTAATGCTCTGTTTCAGTCCATCTAGAGCCCACTAACCTCTTGACCACCTTCAAATAGCCTCAGTGAAACAAGAAAAATAATGAGGGTGAGGAAAAATATAATTGCACTGTGGTTGCCTAGAGCCATCCATGAGTTTACAGGAGATGGGATTTCACTGCCGAAGGAATAACGTGGTAGGTGGGTGTTCTGACCTGTGTTTTTACAGGAGATGCGTCATTCTTCCAGAATGAGGACATCCTGGCCAGATGCCGCTCCTTGCTGCTGTCATCATTCATCTTCTTAGGACGGTCCAGAACCTGAGACTGCAACCTTGGCTACTTAGTGGGAGTAAATCTATCATCTTGCCCGCCTACAAAGTCCCTGGTTTCTCTGCTACAGAAGCTACTGGCTGTCAGTACCAGCTAGCCTTTTCTCCTGATGAACTGAGGTAGCAGAGCTACTACCCTGGAGATAAGCCTCTAGTTTCTTTTTTTTTCCTGCCATCTCATAGCCATAATTATGAAGCTCTGAGCTCAAGGTTCTCTCATTTAGCTTCTTCTTGGTTTCCCTGAAAAGTAGCTACACCCCTGTCCCCTCTGCAAGAACCAATCTAATATTGTTAAGCAATGTCGTCTGGTATGGCCCCAGATCTGCACATCACCCCTGCTCCAGTGAGGAACTCTTTCACAGAAGCCAATCCTGCTGAGATGATACTAAAAAGGATGAAACAAAGAATTACAACTGCTTGGAATCAAATCTGGGCTCCATTATTAGCTACGACCTTGAGGAAGTCACTCATCTTCCCCACAACCTCTGTTTCCTCATCAACAACGGAGGATCAGATCACACCTCATAGAGTACGCCAGTGGGACCCATCCGCTGCGCTGGACATTGATCAAATGAGCTAAGTAACTCAATGGCAGCGATGGGAGGGAGGGAACGAGTGGGGAAAGAGGGAACAGCTGATGCTATGCAAAACAAAAGAAATGTACATATCACCCAAGGTGGAAGAAATAACTGTATTGCAACGCTCATAGAACTCATAAATGTTACAGACCATGATAGACAATTTGCTCCATGAAAGTTAGAATGTGTTTGTGACTTTAACTAAGCATCACTATCCCACAACACAGTGACATCTGGGAAATTATGTAATCACTTAATCACAATAAAGAATTTGAAAAACAAAAGTGAGATACATTGTGCCTAAAGCTACAGGTGGAAAGAGACCTGTGTTCAAACCTTCTGGCCTGCATTCCAGTCTTCCTATCCTCCCTTCATACCTGTCTTCCTCTGCTCTGGCTTAAGGTCCAGAATTTGGGAGGCACCAATCCCACACAAGGAGGTTTAAAAAAAATGTCCTTATAGTTCAAGTTTTTCTCAGTGGAAATACTCTTCCCTTCCCAAGGATTCTCCATCTCCATAAGAGCCAACCTTCTCAAACCCTACCGACCTATCTGACTACTTGCTAGCTACTTATTTATGGGACTCCTTTGTCCCCCACCCTCTTTTAAATTTAAATCCAGTCTTAGTTCTTTCTAAGAAGCTCTCCTTTAATATTCCTTTGAAAGAACTTTGTCCCCCCACCTCCACCCCTTTCCCTGACTATTCTTGGCATTTCTGGCTGGGGGGCTAGCTTTTTTTCTTTGGCCTTTGAACTCAGAAACTGGTTAGCTTCTCCTGGATAAACAGGCGGGGATCTCTGGTTCCTAGGTTGTAACTGTTGGTTGCACCAGTCATTAATGCTCCCATGCAATGGCTGGAGAACATCATGGCTTAGACACAGCCAGTGGAAAGCAAGTCTCAGCCCCGCACCTGGCAGGTAATACCTGTGCCACTGCTAATTACACTCGAGATAGAATCCACATCCATGTCATAGCAGGACCTCCCAAGATGACAAGGAGGAGGCCCCTGGGTACTGGACAGCCAGTCTGGCCATCACAGCCTTCCCCCCACCTGCTGTAACCTTGGAGCTGGCATACCAGCCCCCTAGCCAGGACCATCAGAGCTTCGTGTGGTGTGAGTGCTATCTACAACGTTGGCACAGGCCTTTTCATATGCCAGTGGTCCAGCTGCTCAGAACCTGAGCCAAGAGATCTGAATTAAAAGTATAATGAGAGCCAGGCACCGGTGGCTCACACCTGTAATCCTAACTACTCAGGGAGGCTGAGATCTGAGGCTGGAAGCCAGCCTGGGTAGAAAAGTCCCCTTGAGACTCTCATCTCCAATTAACCGCAAGAATGCAAGGAAGGAAGGAAGGAGGGAGGGAGAGAAAGAGGGAGGAAGGAAGGGAGGGAAAGAGAGCGAAAAGAAAGGAAGGAAGGAAGGAAGGAAGGAAGGAAGGAAGGAAGGAAAGAAGGAAAAGAAGCAGAAGTGAAGCCATGGCTCAAAGTGGTAGAGGGCCCGCCTTGAGCAAAGAAAGCTCAGGGACAGCGCCCGGGCCCCGAGTTCAAGCCCCATAACCAACCAAAAACTAAACCAAACAAAAAGTAGCCTGAGAGCCTCGGGGCCTGAGAGGAGATCACGCCCTGAGGACGCGTGGGAGCTGGAGCCGCCCCTCATCCCTGACACCCCCCCACCCCGCCCGGGGGTGCTGGATCTTCTCGATTTTTCCTTGGGGGGGGTGGTGTGCACCCCTGGGCGCGCACTGCAGTGCCCAGAGGGGCTCGCCCCCTCCCTGGTCCTGGGACAGGTCCTGGGACGGGGGGGGGGCCTCTGCCCCACCAACCCCCGGCCCCGGGCCCCCTTCCCAAGCAGGCTGCGGTGAGACCCGAGGTTGCCCCGGGGCGGTTTCGCGTCGGGAAAGCCCGGAGCGGGCGCTGCGTCCTGCAGGAGGCGCACGGGGCCGGGCCGGGCCGGAGGGGTGAGGAC